TTTGGAGGGGATAAGCAAATATTTTTTGACTAAAGATTTATGATGCTCTTTATAGCCTTAAAACATCTGCAACATTTCAAAGCATTCTGGTTAGCAGATTAAAAATTAAATTTCAAAATGTTGTTTTATAATTTTGATTTTTTTTCCAAAAATCTGGACGTTTCGGGTGAAAAGTCGCTTCAGAGTTGTAAACTACATGTGTAGGACTATGTTATTTTATACAATTGAAAACCCATTTACTATGTACAATTTTGAAGTGACGTCATCGCATTAGTGGTGGGGATGATTAGACAAATTTTGGTTAGCGTTTTACCATCTACATGATATTCTTAATATAAGTACAAAATTTCACAACAATCGGTCGAGTACTTTCGGAGATTATCTGTCTAATAAAAATCCGGGACAACAGACGGACAGACGGACAGACGGACGGACAGACGGACAGACGGACGGACAGACGGACAGACGGACAGACGGACGGACAGACGGACAGACGGACAGACGGACAGACAGACGGAAATGGGAGACCTATTTCTTCGTCTTCTAGGGGTCATGAAAGATCGAGAAAACGTAAAAGTAGAGAGTCGGCCGACGGACTCGATTACAATACTTCCTTTGCTTACGCTCGGGAAGTAAAAATACATTTAGGGCCCCTGAGAAGGTTTTACATTTTTAAAAAAGACAATTAGGACCCCAGAAAAGGTTTCACATTCTTAAAAAATACATGTGGGGTCTCCGAGGTTTTATATTTTTAAAAATTGGTCTAAAGAGTTTAGACAGTACTTCCCTCGCTGTCGGAAACTTGACGACTGCATGCCTATTGTGTTTTTTTTCTCATTACATTTTTGTAGTGGGAATTTAAAAAAAAATTGCGATGACGTCATCAACAGTTTTGCAAGGACACGTATATCAGTTGGGATAGATGTAGTATAATACTAAGAATAAAATTATTATATTCTCAAATTTTCGGGAAAATGAATTGGGTGGTTTTGAATATTGATTTGTAATAATCAATAAAATAACGAAACAATTTACTCACGTATACGTATCAGAGGCAACTGAAAAACGTGTATGTATTAACATTCTTAATCTAAGATGACAGGCGTAACAGTATACGTGAGAGTCAAACAGAGAAACTATAAACAAAACGACCATCGGTTTTATTGCTTCGACTTCCGCTTATTACATAAAACATTGGGTTTTATTTTAATTCTTGACGGTGAAATTCACAATTGGTTGATTATAAACATGTCTATTTCACATTCGCGGACCCAAGTGAACGCATAAAACAAATGCAGGTCTGTAATGTTAAAGTCGATGTAAATAAGCGTGCTACCCTTATGTTTCAACCGTTTTTCCTTTAACAAATTTTGTGTCTATCAAATTGGGTTAGTTGGGGTGTAATACTAATAATAAGTGTTGCCTAATTTAATCAATAAAATAAATTGACTTCATTAATTTTTTTGAACCACCTCTTAAGAAAATCTAAAAAATATGAATGGAATGATAAATCACAAGTACAAACTCATCATATTTTTTGCATTTTAGATAGGATTTATTCAGCAAAATTTAAGGGTGAAGTCATCAATTTTTTTAGGAGGGATGAACAATACATTTTGAACAAAAGTTTACCATGCTTATAATAACTTTAAAATATTCCCAAGATTTCAAAGCATTCGGTTTTGTAATTCCTGATTAAATCGATAAAATAAATTCACGCCTTCATTAGTTTTTTTGAGTCACCCTGCATATGCAAATCCAAAAATATGAATGGAATGATAAATCACAAGTACAGACTCATCATATTTTGTACATTTTAGATACGATTTATTCGGCAAACTTTTGAGCTGACGTCATTAGTTTTTTGTAGAAGATAACCAAATATATTTTGACTAAAAATTTATTATGCTCTTTATAACCTTAAAACATCTGCAAGATTTCAAAGCATTCGGTTTTGTAGTTCCTGATTAAATCAATAAAATAAATTTACGCATTCATTAATTTTTTTGAGTCACCCTGTATATGCAAATCGAAAAAATTTGAATGGAATGATAAATCACAAGAAGAGACTCACCATATTTTGTACATTTTAGATAGGATTTATTCAGCAAAATTTTGTGGTGACGTCATAAATTTTTGAGGGGGGACGACCAAATCGTTTTGATCAAAAATTTACCATGCTTCTGATAATTTTAAAATATCTTCAAGATTTCGAAGCATTCGGTTTTGTAGTTCCTGAGTAAATCAGTAAAATAAATTTACGCTTTCATTTATTTTCTTGAATCACCCTGTATATGCAAATCCAAAAAATATGAATGGAGTGATAGATCACAAGTACAGACTGATCATATTTTGTACATTTTAGATGTGATTTATTCGGCTAATTTTCGAGCTGACGTCATCAAGTTTTTGGAGGGGATAAGCAAATATATTTTGACTAAACATTTATTATGCTCTTTATAACCTTAAAACATGTGCAAGATGTCAGAGCATTCCGTTTTGTAGTTCCTGATTAAATCAATAAAATATATTTACGCATTCATTAATTTTTTTGAGTCACTCTGTATATGCAAATCCAAAAAATATGAATGGAGTGATAAATGACAAGTACAGGCTCATCATATTTTGTACATTTTAGATATGATTTATTCGGCAAACTTTCGAGCTGACGTCATCACGTTTTTGGAGGGGATAAGCAAATATATTTTGACTAAACATTTATTATGCTCTTTATGACCTTAAAACATCTGCAAGATTTCAGAGCATTCGGTTTTGTAGTTCCTGGTTAAATCAATAAAATATATTTACGCATTCATTAATTTTTTTGAGTCACCCTGTATATGCAAATCCAAAAAATATGAATGGAGTAATAGATCACAAGTACAGACTCATCATATTTTGTACATTTTAGATATGATTTATTCCACAAACTTTTGAGCTGACGTCATCAAGTTTTTGGAGGGGATAAGCAAATATTTTTTGACTAAAGATTTATGATGCCCTTTATAGCCTTAAAACATCTGCAACATTTCAAAGCATTCTGGTTAGCAGATTAAAAATTAAATTTCAAAATGTTGTTTTATAATTTTGATTTTTTTTCCAAAAATCTGGACGTTTCGGGTGAAAAGTCGATTCAGAGTTGTAAACTACAACTGTAGGACTATGTTATTTTATACAATTGAAAACCCATTTACCATGTACAATTTTGAAGTGACGTCATCGCATTAGTGGTGGGGATGATTAGACAAATTTTGGTTAGCGTTTTACCATCTACATGATATTCTTAATATAAGTACAAAATTTCACAACAATCGGTCGAGTACTTTCGGAGATTATCTGTCTAATAAAAATCCGGGACAACAGACGGACAGACGGACAGACGGACAGACGGACGGACAGACGGACGGACAGACGGACAGACAGACGGAAATGGGAGACCTATTTCTTCGTCTTCTAGGGGTCATGAAAGATCGAGAAAACGTAAAAGTAGAGAGTCGGCCGACGGACTCGATTACAATACTTCCTTTGCTTACGCTCGGGAAGTAAAAATATTACAAAAATATTCCAGGACCACTACCGCTCCCGATTTTAGGTAATGCGTTAGAATTCGGTTCGACAACAAGTAAATGCGTATCTATCTGTCATGATACACAAGGTAAAACATTTTTATTTTAGAACTATTACACACCTTACACAAATATGAGAATAAGTATGGAGAAATATACAAAATACAAATTCGTCCAATACGTAATTTCATAATAGTAACTGAGTACAAATTTCTTGAATATATTTTGTGTAGCATGAAACTGTTAACTAAATCCCAGAGTTATGATTTCTTGAGGTCTTGGTTAGGAACCGGTTTGCTGACTAGTGATGGTATCATCCTCTAATTTTTTGATGTAAATACTTCAGTTATTGATATCATAGGGATAAAATGGAAAAAACATCGGAAAATTTTAACGTGGGCGTTTCATTTTCCAATTTTAAAGCAGTCTATCAAAGTATTTGAAATATGTAGTACAAAGTTAGTGGAAAAATTACAAACAGAAATTGGAAATACGGCTGTTGATGTTTATCCCTACGAAACGTTATGTACGTTGGACATAATTTGCAATAAATATTTTAGTGTAACTTAAGTATCAAAATAATTAAGATTTTTGAAATCACTTGTCAGAAAGTACAATGGTAGTGACCATAAACGCTCAAGATGATGACCAGTCTGAATATGTCCAAAGCGTTAAAGCTATGACACGCATTATTATCGAAAGAGCTCTCTCTCCATTGCAAATGTACGATTTCTTGTATCCTTTGATAAATCTTACAGTGTTATTAGGCAAAAATTACAAAAGTTGCAAAATATATATGAGTATGTCGCATTATTATTTTTTTAATCTTCACAGGAATGTCAGTCTATGAGGTAATAACTTTAATACTAAGAGTAATAAAAATGTATAACAAAAAACTGTTCAAAGCGTTCTTCGAAAGTTAAAATCATATCAACCTTAAATCTATAAAAAGAGATAAAATAAATATATATTTTATGCTGGACTGAAATTTGGTCAGGTTATTCTAATATACTTACTCTGCATAACCGATTTATCCTTTATTATCTTGAATGTTCTGTGAACATCAAAAGTACCTATAAAACATCACTTTTCTTTAAAGTACTGAAACGTTGATTAAAACGAACCTACGATTAGAAAGAAGACGACAACCGCCAACAGTTTACTCAGCAAAATTTTAAATAACGTCAAAAAAAATTTTTTTTTATTTAAGTATGATCAACCTCTTGATATCCACACTGCAGTTCTTTGTTGCGTAAATTTCACACAACCCGTTTGAATTATTATCGCGTAGAATTCACGCTTCGTCAACATTAACAATTTTAACAAAATAATTTATGGCACTTATGTTTACATTTGTTTTTTATCAAGTTTATTACTATAAACTACTTAGACTACCAAAACAGAACAGAACATTTAAGCCTAGTTGCTAAACAAGCCACAATGTTCTACTGGTACGACTATTTTTTGGTATTCTTTGTACTCGTTACAAGCGTGTTGATTGGTATTTATTTTGGTTGTTTTGGTACTAAACAGTCAACCGTTAAAGAGTACCTTTCCGGAGGAAAACAAATGAAAATTTTTCCAATAGCTCTATCGGTAACAGTCAGGTACGACACTTACTTTTTCAGCACACACCTACATTATATAATTTTAGTCACTTTTCTGGTATTACTCTAATTGCAGTCCCAGCAGATGTTTACAAGTATGGCGCATTCTATGTGTTCACATGCTTATCTGCTGTTCTTTTGGTTATTGCTGCAATGTATGTTTATTATCCTGTATTGTTTAAAGGCGACTACAGTAGTATTTATGAATACTTGGAAGTAAGGTTTAATCGTAAAATCAGATTGCTTAGTTCTTTTTTGTACATTTTGTACGAAAATCTTTTACTTCCTGTAGTCGTTTATACTCCAGCACTAGCACTGTCAGTTGGTAGGTGAAAAATTTCGTAATGAAGGTACAAAATTATAAGCAAAATATTTTAGTTACAGGAATTAATGTACATTTAATAGTCTTGTTATTATGTGGTACATGCGTGTTTTATACAGCTGTTGGAGGTTTACGAACAGTGATTTGGACAGACATTTTTCAATTTGTTGTAGTTATGGTCGCTTTTTTAACAGTTTGTGGCGAAGGAATTAACTCAGCAGGAGGTATATCATCAGTTTGGAATAAATCAGTATCCGGAAAACGATTTGATATTTTTGAGTACTATGCTCTCACAATGATTATTTTTTTTAACACAATTTATCTTGTAGTTTCGACCCAAACCCAACAAAAAAAGACTCATTCTGGATATGTACAGTGGGTCTCGCGGTTAGATTTTTGTTTTACATTTGTTTATCTCAATCGAGCGTCCAAAAATATATGAGTCTTTCAACACTCCGCCGTTGTAGATGGTATGACAATTTTTGTTTAGTTCATTTTGTATTTTGTGTAAATGTGTAGGTCCCTTTCACTGTCCGGCCTCTGTTGGTGTGTAGTTAACATATGTGCCGTTTCTGTTGGTTTAATAATATATGCTAATTACCACAACTGCGACCCTGTAATGGATAAAAAGATTACAAAGAATGACCAAATTGTAGCTTACTATGTACAGCAAGTTGCCAAAAAGATTCCAGGTATCTCTGGGTTATTTATGGCTGCACTATTAAGTTCTGCAATAAGGTTGTAGCAAGGGGTTAATTGACTTTAAAAATTACTTATGAGTTTTTAGCACTTTATCATCGAGTTTAAATTCGTTATCTGGTGTTATTTATCACGACTTCGTCAGAAAATTTTCAAAGAAATCATTTACTGAGAAGACCAGCGTGACAATTATGAAAGTTATTGTAGTTATTGAGGGAATTTGGTGCACTTCTATGATTTTCGTTATTCAATATTTGGGTGAAATTCTGCCGTTAGCCATTGCTATTACAGGATTAATAGATGGACCATCGTTGGGATTATATACCTTGGGAATATGCTTTCCACAAGTAGACTCCACGGTTACTGAATTCTGTACGTATTTATTATCGGGTTGAAAAACTTTTATTTTTAGAGCGCGTTCTACGGGACAATTGGAGGTGTGATTTTTGTATCAGCTATCTATTTTCCTTCTATATATTATAAACAAAAACAAGTGTTCGTATTTCCCGCCAAGGAACTCAGGGTCAGTGGCTGCAATGTTACCAATCACACATTTTACATGGCTTCAAAATACTCGAACTCTTTTCATGAAAATTTTACCAGCAACAGTTACAATGTCGAAGGGCTGGATGTTATTAAGTCAACAACCAAATTGTAAATAATATCACCGATGCTTATTTATTTGTGTTACCTCTTTATATTTTTAGGGATGACTTCAGTGCCAATCAAACATTTTTCTTTTTTCGAATTTCTTACGCCTACTACTGTTTGCTGGGAGCACTTGTAACTATAATTTTGGGATTAATTGTAACATACATTAGAAAGTGTAAAACAAAATCACGCGCTGATCACGCACGGCCAGCAAACCTACCATTGCTGGTAAAATAATTACCACACACAAAATTTTTCCTCATATGTTGATCTATAAACAAAGGATAAATGAAAACGTTTTAATAAAGTATCTCAAAACTTACTTAAATTTATATTACGGAACAATTATATAATTTTTATAAAAGTATACAGAGCGCACAAATGTTTTTACGAGGACTACATTTTACAGAATTCGAAGACAATAAATGGAACAAATAAATCCAGTCAACAAGACTCGTAAGTTGTTCAACCACCTATCGCGTCATAAGAACAATTATCATAAGCTCTACTTGATTGAATTTAGGAACATTAGCAGAACTACATTACAATTTATCACAGATATTGAAATTTTGTTCAAACATTGACCTTGATTTCGTCATCACAGTGTACTAACTAAAATTAATCATTCATCCTCCTGGAAAAGTTGAACACGTAATCTCAAATATCATTAAAAAAAATTACAGTCACATTATGTAGCTTGCCGTATTCCTCGACCGGCATTTTAATAATTTAACCTATTGTTAACTACACGGATACGTGTCCTAAAAAAGTTTCGATAAAAGAATTTTTATTTCGTAATCGATAGGCAACGAAGGTATTCCAATATACAAAAAAGGCGACTTTAAGGAAGGTTTAATTTTAAGTATTTTGTCGTTTGTCTTTTGAAAATCTCTGTGTATATGTTTGATATATAGGTGACCTTAAAAATAAACGATTTATTTTTGAAAAAGTTTTTAGTGTAGAAATCAACTTCGTATCTTTCCCTGCTTGTATGCCAGAAATTTTCATTCTTGTCTCTCATGGTCTCATGGATTATTTTTTTAAGATTTGCTTCGATTTATCCCGCTTTCAAAGCGACCAGATTATTTGAATTTTGCCTTTTTTACTTTAATCCTTGTCTTCTTCTACCTGGAGCAATGAAACAGGATTATGCTTCTCTCGACATTTCCTTCTATTCTTTCCTATTCTGTATTAGCCTCGAAGTGTCCATCTAACTGATTTTTCTTTGGCACTGTGTATACGTATTATATTTTAGGCAGAAGCCTACGTAGTATCTATAGTTTTGCTTTGTCATTAGTGTCCTTCATCCTTTCAGTCAGATGTCAGATTAAACGGAAATTATGTGTCAAATTTATTCTGTTCATAAAACTATATCATTTTTCATTTCTTAATTTGTTGTCCATTAGGCTTTTGATACAACAAAATCAATAGGAGTAGTTTATTTTATTGCTACGAGTTTTTGTTTAGTTTTGTTTTTCTAGAAGCCTGGTATATATTTCTCATGATATACCTGTTAAAGTCATGTTTCTATAGCTATTGCACTCTTTACTATCTCCTTTCTTAAAGATCGGCATAATTATTCGCCTTCTCCAATCTTTTGTAGCCTTTTTGTCTGTTTCTACTAGATTTTCCTCTAATAATTTCCATAGTCATATCCACTACTCCAAGTTTGTCTTGGTAGTTTCTTCTTTCTTTCATGTTATTTTTCTCCTTTTCTCTTTATTGACATTTTATTTACATTTTCTTTATTATCCCTACCATATTCTTGTAACTTTCTGAAATGATCTTGCCACCTTTTCGTAATGTCTTGTGCTCTTGTTAATATTGTTTTCTTTCTATCTTTCACATTTTTAGTTTTATTAGTTTTAGCCTTTCTCATTTGTTTAGTGCACCATAGAAGAATTTTTCATTTTAACGGAAGTGTCATTTGTTTATTAGTTTTAATTACAGTTTTTGACTTTATTCGTTCTTTTTTTTATCTGTCATAATCATTTTGTTTCTTCTTATATGTGTTTCTTTTCTCCCATTGCTACTTTTATTTCATATAACCACCATTCTGTTCATTTTATATTATGTTTTTCTATTTTCTGACCAAACTTTATTTATTCATCCTCTGTAAAGTATTAATGACGTATTCCAGAATGTTCACTAGTAAATCAATGCCACTTAAAATCGCCTACTACGAAATAAAAATTTTTAATTTTAGTGTGTGATTTATACATATGATGTTATACTTGTGTCATTTTTGCATAAAAATCACAGAAACTGTTTTATATTAAACTAATGTAGTGATAAAAATTTATTTATTCTGTTGTTTTACTGTCTTGACAGGTTACCGCGTTTATTGCCACGGAATATGTAACAATATGGAAATCTTGAATGCGCTTAAATGTATTTTAGTAGTTTTGTTACATAATTGTAAGATCTTTATAACAAGAAATGTATAACTATTGTATTTGATATTGTTATCGCGTATTACGGTAGTTCGGCGTCATAATCAAAATTATGAACCGGGCATAGCGTTCAAAGGTGATTGGTGAATGTGATTTGTTGTAAGAAACTTGCTAAAAAACGAATAAGCATTATACAATTTGCTACCTTTGTTTTGTACAACAAAATGACGAACACAAACAAATAAGACGAAGAATGAAATTTAAGCAGTACTTAAATACTTTGTATGTCGGGGCATAGAAAAGACAAGAGAGAACAAATGGCTAATAAAAGCCGAAAGAAGATCATGAAGAAAAAGACACAAACAAAGTCACACAGTAATTTCCCTCAGCATTCCACAGGAATGTGAGTTAAAAACGAAACCGTGAGTTTATAATGATAACGAATGTGTTGGAAGTTCTGATTTACTTAATCAATAAAATAAATAAATTAATTTTTTTGGGCCACTTGTTTACACAAATCAATAAAATATGAATGCAATGAGAAATTATAAGTAAAAACTCGTTATATTTTGCACATTTTGGGTATATTAGGCAAAAATTGAGATAACCTTATCAATTTTTTGGGGGGAATAAACAGAATTTTGATTAATAATTTACCATGGTTACAATGACTTTAAAACGTCTGCAAGATTTCAAAGCATTCAGTTTTGCAATTCTTTATTTATTCAATAAACTAAATTGACTGATTTATTAATTACAAGTACAGACTGATCATATTTTGCACATTTTAGATGGGATTTATTCGGCAAAACTTTGAGATGATGTAATAAATTTTTTCGGGTTGATAAACAGATATATTTTGATTAAAAAGTCACCAAGGAACTACTGAACGGAACTTTTCTATGTCGTTGTTTTCTTTCGCTTTTGAAGTTGCTTTCAACATGGAATATTCTGGCTATAACGATGCCGGACACAATTTTTGGGACTGTAAAATACATTTTAAAAATTGGTCTAAAGAGTTTAGACAGTACTTCCCTCGCTGTCGGAAACTTGACGACTGCATGCCTATTGTGTTTTTTTTTTCTCATTACATTTTTGTAGTGGGAATTTAAAAAAAAATTGCGATGACGTCATCAACATTTTTGCAAGGACACGTATATCAGTTGGGATAGATGTAGTGTAATACTAAGAATAAAATTATTATATTCTCAAATTTTCGGGAAAATGAATTGGGTCGTTTGAATATTGATTTGTAATAATCAATAAAATAACGAAACAATTTACTCACGTATACCTACGTATCAGAGGCAACTGAAAATCGTGTATGTATAAACATTCTTAATTTAAGATGACAGGCGTAACAGCATACGTGAGAGCCAAACACAGAAACTGTAAACAAAACGACCGTCGGTTTTATTGCTTCGACTTCCGCTTATTATATAAAACATTGGGTTTTATTTTAATTCTTGACGGTGAAATTCACAATTGGTTGATTATAAACATGTCTCTTTCACATTCGCGGAATCAAGTGAACGCATAAAACAAATGCAGGTCTGTAATGTTAAAGTCGATGTAAATAAGCGTGCTACCCTTATGTTTCAACCGAGTTTTTCCTTTAACAAATTTTGTGTCTACCAAATTGGGTTGGTTGGGGTGTAATACTAATAATAAGTGTTGCCTTTAATTTAATCAATAAAATAAATTGACTTCATTAATTTTTTTGAACCACCTCTTAAGAAAATCTAAAAAATATGAATGGAATGATAAATCACAAGTACAAACTCATCATATTTTTTGCATTTTAGATAGGATTTATTCAGCAAAATTTAAGGGTGACGTCATCAATTTTTTTAGGAGGGATGAACAAATACATTTTGAACAAAAGTTTACCATGCTTATAATAACTTTAAAATATTCCCAAGATTTCAAAGCATTCGGTTTTGTAATTCCTGATTAAATCGATAAAATAAATTCACGCCTTCATTAATTTTTTTGAGTCACCCTGCATATGCAAATCCAAAAATATGAATGGAATGATAAATCACAAGTACAGACTCATCATATTTTGTACATTTTAGATACGATTTATTCGGAAAACTTTTGAGCTGACGTCATCAGTTTTTTGTAGAAGATAACCAAATATATTTTGACTAAAAATTTATTATGCTCTTTATAACCTTAAAACATCTGCAAGATTTCAAAGCATTCGGTTTTGTAGTTCCTGATTAAATCAATAAAATAAATTTACGCATTCATTAATTTTTTTGAGTCACTCTGTATATGCAAATCCAAAAAATATGAATGGAGTGATAAATGACAAGTACAGGCTCATCATATTTTGTACATTTTAGATATGATTTATTCGGCAAACTTTCGAGCTGACGTCATCAAGTTTTTGGAGGGGATAAGCAAATATATTTTGACTAAACATTTATTATGCTCTTTATGACCTTAAAACATCTGCAAGATTTCAGAGCATTCGGTTTTGTAGTTCCTGATTAAATCAATAAAATATATTTACGCATTCATTAATTTTTTTGAGTCACCCTGTATATGCAAATCCAAAAAATATTAATGGAGTGATAGTTCACAAGTACAGACTCATCATATTTTGTACATTTTAGATATGATTTATTCCACAAACTTTTGAGCTGACGTCATCAAGTTTTTGGAGGGGATAAGCAAATATTTTTTGACTAAAGATTTATGATGCTCTTTATAGCCTTAAAACATCTGCAACATTTCAAAGCATTCTGGTTAGCAGATTAAAAATTAAATTTCAAAATGTTGTTTTATAATTTTGATTTTTTTTCCAAAAATCTGGACGTTTCGGGTGAAAAGTCGATTCAGAGTTGTAAACTACATGTGTAGGACTATGTTATTTTATACAATTGAAAA